GAGGGAGGAACTGTGTTGGGGTCACCGACCAATATTACAGCAAAACGATAAGGTATCGTACTTCGACGCTGAACCGCATTAAACAAACAAAATGATACCTTGAAAACGTAGTGAAACCTACACGCTGTACACTCCGTTTCCATTAGCGCTGTGTAACACTTGTTTAAGTGTTTTATTCTCGCGTATCGAAACGTGACAAAGAAGTGCTGGCAATAACCAACTAGCCCGGCTGTTATAACGAAACCGACTTCTCGATTAGTAACGAAAACGATATAAATAACTTTTACGCGAAAGGCAAAGAAAATGAAAAAGGAGGAGAAGCAAAAAAAAAAAAACACGAGCGTAGATCTCACGTTATAGAGCTTGCTAAACTACTGTGATCGAGGATTTATAAATATTAGGTATTGATTTTTTTAAAGAGAGAGGAAGAGAGAGGTGCAACACTCTATTCAATGAGTTGCGTAGAATTTTAGACGAGATAATAGAATTACTTGTTTGATAAAGGTAACAAAAGATGAAAAAAAAAAAAACACACAGACACACAATAGAGAAGTATATTATTAGAAATTTCATAGTGTACAGAAGGTTTTTGAGAATATGTATTTTTATACGTTGAACACTCAATATAAACGCAGAGAAAGTGCCATTCCGTTCGTTTCGAACCAAAATTTTTCTGCTTACTTTATTCTCTCCTTGCTGATTGTGATATTAGGTTATACGACACTTTGGTCGGTCATTGTGTATGAATGAAATATATTTCAAACGCACTAATATATACATACATATAAGTTGACATATGTATATATATATTATCATTAATTATATACATATATAATATATATATATATCTAACACGAATGTTTTAACCTACAGACCATTTTGTGATTATTTTTTTGTTAAAGATATTAAATTAGGATCATATTATTAGCATTTAGTGTAAATAGGTAAATACATTTTAGAGTGGACGTTTTTGTTATCACTTATAGAGATCTTTCAAATTTTTCGCTTATATAATCAGTAGGGATGTGCGGCTACTCGATATTTTCATGCAAAATTCATTCGGAGAAAATCGAACAACTCTCATAATAGAAAATTTATAATTTAAGAATTTTCAAATTTACAAATTCAGATCCGATGATATTGAAAATCTAGAAATCTTAATTACGCAAATTTAGGAATTAAGAAATGTTCACATTTCTTAATTCAGAAATTTGAAGATTGCAAAATTCTCAAATTTGAAATGTCTGCAATACTTAAATTTGAGGATTCCTAAATTCTCAAATTTGTAAATTTCCCGGAACGACTCAACACCCGAGCATCATGTTCGATTGTCTGCACATCCCTGATAATCACCTCTTTGAATGGACGTTATTTGAAAGAAAAAAGATATTAAATAACGTGCGGGACATGGTTAATATGATTTGCAGGAACGATTCACAGTGTTTTGAATCTATGACGTGAAATCTATCGCGATGTAGGGAAATTTGTACGTGCACCGTATCACACGCCGAATATCTCCATTTTCGTTTCGAATTCTTGCGTTTTACGTAGCCAATGTGTGTGTTTGAAAATTCAAGCGCTGACTGTGTGTCATTCCAGTCCAATTTTGGGCCAGTTCGAAAAGCGAGCACTTTTTTCTTCTTTTTTTATTGTAATCGGCTGCGTTTATCCTGACCTTTCGAGGATAGAACAAAATAACGGGAAAATGAATGTTTAAAATTGTAAGAAACGTGTCTGCGACGAATCGATGTATCGTGTTGCAAATTCGTTTAGAAAGTTGTAAAAAAAATTCACAACGAGCGACTTCTAGAAATTTTAAGACGCATCAGGCTTTTGTAACTTTTATTTTCGCTCTTTATTTTTGTTTTTTTTTTTTTTGTGTCAGAACGCGAAACGAGATACGAGAACCAAGTATAAAGAGAAGAAAAAGCAAATAGCTCAACGTTAAGATGATGGAACTAAAATGGATCCGTCGTTGAGTCACTGTTGTCAATCAAACTTCGAAGTTTATTAATAAAAACAAAAAAAATAGGAAAGAAAAGAAAAATAAAGAAAAAAAAAGAGAAACAAAATGAACTGGCAGAATGGACTAGCGCAGGCGAGATCAAAAAAAGAAAATTAAAAGCTCAATAATGGTTTGTTGTAAATTTTATTATTTTCTTGTTTTCTTTTCCAAAACGCAATGTACATGAAGACTATTTTTTTATCATTACCAATAGACAAAGCGAAACTACTATCATTTCACCGTTAGACTTCTATTTTCGAACGAAAGCATAATTCGTGTAATCTTCTCGTAGAAGATAGAAGGAAAATCAGATTCGCGCGCAGAGAACAGAAAGATACATGTGACATTCGTGACCGCTCCTTTGACTCGATCCATGTTTGTCAATTGGCAACAATCGTGTTGCCACAACACTCTTGATCCCAATTTTTGGTCCTTTCCTTGCTCTGCCTGCGCCATTTTTGTGATATTACTATTTTTTATAATTACTTAAGGGCTTTGAAAAAAAAGAGTAGTAATAGAAACGAGCCATGTGCGATTACTCGACTCGAATCCATTCAGTTTTCTTTTTATAATTGTTATGTATCACACACCGATATATAATCTTCTTTTTCTGTTCACCACAGAATTGACTAGTATTTAAACAATATATAATTCACACACGAGATATATTTTTACATCTTGTATTTTTTAAATAGTTCCTAAGCAGAATGTTTTCAATAATATACACATATGAATAATTGTATGGTTCTCGACGAGACATGGCGTGGTTGAAAATTTTGATCTTACAAGGGATGCTCGAGACGTGAAAAACCAGCATTTGTTCTAAAAATTAGAATCTGAAGGTCACGTTTAAAGCATCCCTTGACAGTGCTTTACACGCTACATTTCGACGAGGACAATAGACACCTTTCTCAGGTTCACTATCCTAGTTCAATTTTATACTATACGGGATTTCCGAGGAATGTTTGATACTTGTGTCTCGCTGTAAATATACAGAAATTCAGAAGGAATGATTTCTGTCGAGATATCCACGTGGCTCGCTATTATTTATTGAAATGCTCTGAGCTCTCACTCAAGAATTAAGAGGCAAATAAATTTATAAATGAATGTAAACAGGAAAAGGGAGAGATGTGTGAAGTTGTGAAAGAAGAGGAAATTGTCTATTTATACATATTATTATTATTATTATTATTATTGCTATTATTATTATTATTATTATTATTATTATTATTATTATTATTATTATTATTATGAACAGAGATGAAACGAAGTTGAATCGATATTTGACAAATATCCAAATTTTTTCTATTTGAAAAGAGAGAGAGGTGAAGTGTGTATGGGAGAATATACAGAATGATTGCTGAAGAACACGACGTGACGAAAACAAAATGATAAGTGAATTAAAGGGAATAACAGGACACAAGTAAATATATTGTTGTATCTTTTATTGTTGTTGTTGCATGAGACTAGCGTAATAGACTGAGCCATACACGTGGTTAAAATAACTATTAACGTAATACTTCTTAATTAATACTATATACATATATACATATATATATATATCTATATATATATATTATTGTAATTATACGGTGTGTATTATATTTAATCGTAACGTTTCGTGCGGGCAGTGTTTGGAAGGAGTTCCTGTCCTTTGGTGTTCAATCAAGCTTTTTCCTCGTTCTAACTTCTTTCATGTACATTTCTAATATTCTCTACAACAGTGATGGACAACTACGTACACAGCCATTTGTCAGAAATCCCTAGACTCTTCTGATCCTCTCTCAAAGTTTTCCCTAAGTTCTACTCCTCTCAGGTTTCTAACTCCTCGGTTGACGTAGCTGGCCATCCCTGAGCCATTATGCTTAATTTTTTCAAATAAAAAAGAGAGCAAGTTTTAAAAACTAATGGTCGAAACAAAGAGAATGGTACAGTTTTTGTCGACGAATTTTATGTTATTCTGATTGTAACGTACATGTATGTTTGTGTTTATGTGTGTGCATGTGTGAAGCGTATGTATATTCGTTCCAATCGAGAAGCGCGTTATAATCAGAAATATCTTCTTAAGTTAATTATTATTTAATAAATCAAGTCGAATAGGCATGGAGAAAGAGATTAGTTTTCTCGATTGGAAACAAAACGAAGTTAATCCTTTTTTCTCGCTCAAAGGATCGGAACTTCACGGGACTGTTCCTAGTACCTGATTATCCTATCCTTGCGGCACGAAGATTCTTTTGTTCCAACGATCAACCGGAGAATCGGACTTCTCTGTTCTCTCGCGCCTCGCAAACGCCAGCGAAATTCCTCTGTCCAGTGTTCAAGCTTGGTATAGAGAAAATGAAACGTAAATACGGTGTTCTTTTTATTGTTGCATACCTTGACTGCCTAGTACTTAAGTATACATATATTTAAATATACAGGATGTTTGAAAACGGAGATGTCCTGGAAGACTCTTACTGCTAAATGGAATCGGAAAAGTTTTTTATTATTTTGCGATCGGAACTTTATGTTAGCGACTGTGTAATATTACACCCTCGAAAAATACAGTTATGTGAAATATTTAAAGGTACAAATTCTTAATAGCTTGTACCTCGAGAAGTATTAGAAAATTGTAAACGACTTTCACAAAATTGTAATTGACTTTCCGATTTATTTTTTCGAAGAGTTTATTTCCGTCGACGTCTTTTTTTTTTGAGACAGCCTGTATACATCTAATAGACAAAACTGTTGAGACTAGAGATCGAAGAAGTAAGTTTTACTCGCACGAGTCGTCTGCTTTTTTCATTTTTTTCTTTCTTACAACACTTGTTTGTCAAGGAGTAACGACAGGTGCTGAAAGTCTGCGAATTTTTCTACCGTTGAAAATATCAGATTTTCTCGAGGTTCAAGTGGGATAAAAAACGGCAGAGTAATCGAGGAAAACGGGAGAATAATGAAAAAAAGAAAGAAAAGAAGACGGACGTTGCTACTCAGTATTGTATATCGATATTATAAGCTTCTGGCAATCATCGTATTGTGATCAAGTGAGTTTTTTTTTTAACGCTGTCAGTTGACATTTTATTATTATTGTCATTGTTGTTATAAAAACGGGAACATACAACATGAAAGTTTCCCGGGGCCCACAATCAAAAGTTGGCTTTTTATTGTAAAAAAAAGAACAAAGAAGAAAGAGTATCAGTGAAAGTCACGTAAGCATGCAAAGAACAATTTAAAAGCTTGGGCGTTTGCAACCTTTTTTCGGTGTACATCTTCTTTTCATAGGCTGCAAAAATTTTTCTTAATTAGAAGTAGAAATTACAGTAGACTCTTGTTGTATTACTATCATAAGTTTAAAAATTTTAAAGTTTGAAAATAAAGTTAAAGTGGCAATATAACGAGAGTCTACCAAACTATCAGGTAAACAGTATTGATAGTAGTTTAATATTTCATACCTCTTTGTGTGCTACGTGACCAGATTCGAAATAAATCTTGAGAAATCAACGGAAATCCATCTGTGCGAATGTCCCTTTCAGTTTCTCTTCGTTCAGATACTTTCTTTTCTTCGACCGTATTCTCTCATTTTTTCATTCGAATTGTTTATGTTTTAACTTAATTTTCTTCTGTTTGAGAGTTTATCGAAAAGCATTCATTTAATATTTTTTTATTTCTTTTTTAATAAATGTATATCGAAAACTGTCTTCTGTTTGAATATTACAAATATCAAGCATTCCTTATGCTTTAATTTTTGTTTACTCGTTTTAAATATATAATTATATAAATAAATTACGAAAGACTCAAAGCAGTAATATCCAATTTGCTTCTAAATTCGCGTATACTCTAATTCACATAAATCGAAAGCCGTCGTCATCGAATAAAATTTGTAAAAAAGAAAGAAAACAGCATTAGGTTCACAAGAGGCAATTTCCAATCGTAAGTAGAGTCGAATAGGGATGTGTCCCATTGCTGAAGAGCCATAAACGTTTCTAGTAGTGGCACATAAAAGCTCGTTCCCACGTCCGATCCGTCTAACAGCCAGCTTAAGTGATTGCTTCTCTTCATTAGAAGCTGGCTCGTTTCGTTCGAGCCGATCCTGTTCAGGGAGCGAACTCGAGGGACAGGTGTGGTAATGGCCCGTATCCGAGATGGTCTTCGTTCCAGCTTTCGAATGGGGTTGCGGAGAGGTAGTTGCAGTCGATTTAACCCCTACCTTACCACCACCACCCCAGAGACTATTACGCGAATTGATTCGGCATCGGATCGGTCCATAGGCTTCGAAGGGGTGGAAACATCATTTAGCTCCTCGTTTCTTTCCTTCCGCTTTTCCTTTCTTTTTCGTTCGACAATTTCAAATTTATATATTTAGGAATATTTTTCGATATTCTATATGTTAACAGTTGAAGAGCTCTTTGAGGGCGCAGAGAACTCTGCTTTTGTAGATTAAATGATTTGGTATTTAAAAACGTAGAAGATTATACATTTAGAAAGTTGGGTGTTTGAGAATTACTAGGTATTTACTTCGAGAATTTGATCAGCAAATTGAATTGTCGAAAATTTGGAGATCATCCCTAAGTCACCTCGCAAAGTCAGAAAGCACGAAAGAAGAAAAAGTGGTATAAGAATGAAAAGTATAAAATAATTCACAGGTTAGAGTATCGAGCTACAGCACTGACTGGAGGACCAAGGGGCTTTCCATTGCACCTTCCACCCCGGCCCTTAATCTAATCCAAGGATAATCTAAAATTCATGACACACATAACTGCCAGGCGATGATATATCTGGTGGGGGTGTAGAGGCAACATCTTCCCTCTTGCACCCCTTGGTCTATTCGCTCTAGCAACCCCCTGTTACCCCTCTCTACCTATTGCAGCCGAGTTTCTCGCAATCACTGGCATTATTATTTAATGCATCACGGTCGGATACAAGTTCTCCTTCCGGTAAATCGCGATATCACGCCGGTGTTTGCTATTTATCAACCCCTCGCTGAACCACGTTTTCTTTTTCTTTTTCTTGCTATTGAACTTCGGTCAAAATATAGCTTATTCTAGTTACTTATCATATATTTTAGACTATATGTTTGAAAATTTTTAGTTTGGAAATTTACTTTGAAATTTACTTTAAAAAAATGTTGGAACGTTGAAGATTTTGTGATTCAAAGTCATAAGCCATATCGTGAATAAAAGAATGCAAAATGAATGCAATTTTACCATACGATAATTGCGATATAATATCCCACGAAAACCAACCATCATCAATTATCGTGCCCTTCGAAAAGTCGACGAGTCGAGAACATAGAATAATCACGCGGGGAATGAAAATGGATCGGCGTGGTTTTACGACCCCTTATGGCTGATCACGATTTATGCTACGTAATATCATTAGTTCACAGTCATCACTGATTTTCTGTCGGATCCAATTGCGCATTCATAACTCGACTTAATTCGTATTTTAACACGATCGATTGCCTTGTTTTATCGTATTGTCATAACAAAGTCATTTTACTTTTACAAGTAAAATGAACGAAGCAGTCTTTGATTTTATTTTTTATTTTCACAGGAAGTCATTCTACATACCTGAACAGAATATTACAGTGCTTAAAGAATAATTAACCGAATCCCGAATTTATTTCATTTTTAACCCGTTTAAACGTCAATCTTTTTAATGAAATTTCTTTTCAAAATAATTAGCAAGCCACGTAGCGTGGAACGCGTTAAATATAAAATGGCTGTCCGTTCCGAGGAGCGTGTACGAGGATTAATAAGTTAACGAGGTAAATTAATCATCAAGCCAGACAAATAATTCGCGATTCGATATTACAATCACGTTCTTCGAGCCCCGTTACACCGACACTGAAAATAATTATCCACAACAACGGGACGACCTCGAAAATGGTTAAATCGACTGTTTGCCCGATCGACGTGCACACCGGCCAGGATAATCAATCCGGTTAACCGACAAGCCATGAACGCGTAATGAGCAACAATTTGATTAGTCGGTTCGAATAAATTATTCAAATTACACCGTCGATTAACTCGATCGTATGATTCTCTTCCGGGCGAATCGAAAGAACGCGTTTCGCAATCTGCAAAAACTAAGTTGCTGATTCCATTATCGGATTTAATGGACGGCATAATTTACGCAAAGCAGTGTCTACTCTAATCGATAAATAGACAATTTGCGTCGGTTTATCATTGCAATAGGTTCAAATTTCACACCGAAATAATTAAATTCATTGAAGATTGTTATGGATGTCAGATGTTATAGATCTTAATTGTAATTTATGACTTCAATTTTTATACAATTACTATGGAGTTTACTAACATACTTGTATGTTGATATCACAACATTCTAACTTTCTTTATTTTTACAAATATGTATTGATAGTTTGATAGTAAAGAACTGGAACACCCTGTGTACGTTTATATAAAATACCACACGCAACAGTATACTAAAATTTCACGCTACTCGTCATCCCCGTATCGACGAGTAAAGGGTTTGCCAGGAGTATCCGATAGCAGGTACACAACAAACAAAGTTGTGTCGTTTGAATAGTTGAATCGTTCCTCCTGAGGGAGCAGCAGTGTTTTCTCCGACCCGGGATAGAATTCCAGCCTTGGCCCCGGTAGTACCCTTTAGCGGCAGACAAACGACAGCCAATTTACGAGCAGGAAAGAGAAACTTCTTTAAACTCGGATTAAAATAAGCGACGGAGCACTCTTATATTTTTCTTTTCCGGCACCCTTAAAATTCATTTCGAGACTCGCGAAAGCGCTTTATTTTATTTGCGGCGAGGGGGCGAAGGGTGCAGACCCTCCGGGGAATCTGAGCTAGGTGACAATTTGTCGGAAGCTGTTAAATTGATTACCGAGCGGGGTTAAATCGGCCCTTTAAATCCAACGATTACGGTGATCCACCTGTGAGAGGCGCAGTCAATCTTTAGCGATGCCATTTTGCGTGAAGAGGGTAATTGATGGCCTTGAATGACTTTACTGTCGGCCATTTTGTGTTGTAACTTCGTATGTTGTTTTGTAGTACGTTATTTCACAAGGTATCTTCTCAACAATAAACAGAATACACATTAAAATTGTTTGATACTTGCAAGTTGCTTAGCACTTTAATATTAACAAGTCAGTTGTAAGTGCTATAGTTAAGGTAATAGTTTAGACATAATAATGAATGATTTATGAAGTTGTTGTAATAATTGAATAATTGATAAGTAACTATAAGTTGCACTAAAAAGTCAGTTCCTAATATCTTTAATCATCAATGACCATTTTTACTGTCAGTCCACATATCAACTCAGTTGTATCTTGAAGAGGTACATCTATTCTTCAACATTATGATGAGTCGCAAAACGAGACCGAGAATTTTGATCACAGCTTCATTCGATATTTCGCTAAACGAACATCGAGATCGAATAAAGTTTCTGTTTGGAAGTCACGTGATCATTCGAGCGTATGCAGGAGGACAATAACGACACCCTCGGGAGCGTCCAGGATGAATCCCGGCTAACGCGATTACGCGACGATTCGTTCGCTCAATTTACCTACCGAACACACGTACTGCGAGAAAATGGTAGGCGAAAGAACCTCCACATATCATTCTTTGATGTTCTTCTCATCAGTTTATCCTTGAAATCATTACAAGAAACGCTTGTCGTTTAAGAAGGTTGCTGTCAGAGTCTAATGTCTAACTTCAAGATAGCTATCACAATTATGAATAAATATGAGATGTGATTTGTATCTTGAACAGGAAAGTTGGACATTTCATTTTAAGCTAAAGTTTATGAAGTATAGTATTGAAGTATAATATTGAAGTATAATATTTGAGTATACTATTGAAGTATAGTATTGAAGCATAATGTTAAAGTAAAGTATTATAGTACAACATTGCACTATAGTATTGAAGTTAAGAGACCATAAAATAAAAATAAATATAACAAGAAATAGTTGAAAATAAATTGAAAAACGTAGAATAGTATGGTACGCAGTAACGCGAACGTAACGGCGCCCATGGGACGAGCAGGGTAACGCGATTAGGTAGCACAGCACTGGCTTGATTTATCCGCGTACCGACGCGTTATTGCATTAGCGCCCCGACGACGACGTCGCTGGCCTGCGTCCCGGGGATGCTTCGGCATCGCGAGCACCAGAAGTCCACTCTGTCCAGTCGACCGTGAATCATCCCTAAGAATTATGTCTTGGACGATGCTGCCAGCACGCGTGATTTGTAGATGAATTCGCCTACCGATGCCCGCCATTTAACGCGCTTACGACTCTCCGTGATCTCATAAACGTTATTCTGAACGAATTATGAGATTTAGTTGATCTCGGGATTATTGAATTATGATATTCGAGTGGTGGGATCGTTTGTAAATATATTTATTGGCAGTTTTTTGGAGGAAAGGGTGAATGAAGCTGGGTATAGGATTTTGGGATTTTAGAGTTTGAGGGTTTAGGAGGTTGGAAATTTGGAGGATGTGAGAATTTGGGGGTGTGAGAATATAGGGAGCTGAGAATTTGGGGTTTTAAATTTTCGGGTGTGAGAATATAGGGAATGTGAGAATTTGAGGGGTATGGAAATTGAAGAAATCGCGAATTTCAGGGTTTAAAATTTGCTGAATGAGAAATGTGAAAATTTGTGGACGTGGTATTCGGAAGAGTGACAATATGGGGACGTGAGAATTCAAGGGTAGAATACTTAGAGGTTTAAAAATCTGGTAATTTGAGAACTCGAGCGTGTAAGTTGAGGATTTTAAAATTGATAAATGATCCACTACGATATGAAGATCCAAGTTTATATATTTTAAAGCTAATAGTATACAGAATGACAATCATGTATCCAAGAACAGCCTGAACACGACGACACCATATCGAATCTGTTTTAAACAACGTCGTGACAAATCTTAATTATGCAGTTTAATGTTCATTTTCGAAACACTGAACACCTACTAGAATCTCTATTCACATATTTCCATTAGATTCACTTTTTTTTGTCTCGACAATTTTGATTTTCGAGAACAGCCGTTCCGTCGGATGGAACGTCATGGATTCGACGTGGCAATTTTCAAGCTCAGCTACTTTCGACCGTCGATTATTTATAATATCATGTATAATACACTTCTCCCAGGATTCTTCACTTTTTACACATCTGTGTTTGTACTTCTCGAACAAGCGTTCTTGAAATCGCGATTTCGGATTCCTCGAGACCGGTTGTGCATTGTTCGAATTATCTTTAAATACAAATTTCGACAACTGACTTAATGAAAAACTCTTTAGTCGAATAAAGATCTTCGTGTAAAATTATCATAACAAATAACTTACAACTTAATAACGGTGACTTGCAAATAAAAACTTAACCCTGTAGTCTCCCTTTGGATCTAACTGAAAATTTCAAATATTTCTTGGGGTAATGGGTGTGACAATGACATGTATACACGGATGTAATTATCGAACGATTATAATTATTAATGATAGCAAAAATATTAGACATGTTAATCAACAGGTCACTTGGAGCGTTTACGACTCTAAGACAAACTACTTCCAACCTTCGCTTCTTTCATTTATCGAATAATAATATAACATGTACAGATCTCATCGTGACACCCCCACATATTCTAACCTAGCCTCGTTTCTCAACTTAAAAAAAGTTCTAATAAGTAAAACACATTTGATAAAAGAGAACAGCAGGGTTAAATAAAAATGATCGAAAAATTCTGCCATACTCACCAGCCCTAACCGTTCACAGTTCGCACAAGAGCTCGCAGTAGTTTTTACGCGGGCCTGTCGAGACCCAGAGCTTCCTGGTGTCGTCTGGCCTTCAGCCTGAGGTCCGCGATGCTGCTGTTTTTCGAGCGAGCCGCAGCGGCTGCCAGAGAAGCCGCCAGACTTAGGGGATGAGGGTGCGGGTGACCGGAAGTCGGCGGTGGTGGTGGTGGAGGAAGACAAAATAATCCACCGGCTGCTGCGTAATGGAGGACTGCGGGGTCGAAAGCTGAACCTGCCGCGGTCACGTTTCCCCCAGCACCCTGCATCGGGGGGTGCAACCTCAGAGCTGGTAGGTACGGCGCCACCCTACAGGGTTCCAAGCTCGTTGGAGGGCTACGTGGTGCCAGCACCATTCCACCTGCTACCCCTAACACGAAGTTATTTTATGTTTAAAGCTTTTGTTAAAAGGGACACATTTAGTTTCTACTAAATTTTGAAATAAGTATTTTTTAAACGTTTAATATGTGTATGATATACAAACTTAATAGATTAATGGCTGTTTTAAAAGAATTCAATAAATTTTTTAACTGAACATTAGAGATTAATGTCTGTCTTTAAAGAAGTCAACAAGCTTTTTAACTGAAATGTTTAAGGTATCTTCCAACAGCAAAAACTTCGAATGTAAAGAATTAAGGGTGGGTCCAAGTTTTTGAATCTTCTAATTGGACACTTCATTGAATCACTAAAAAAAAATACACTTTCAAATTTATTAATCCTTAATATCTAGAAACTCAAATCTTTTTTGTGTTTAGTAGGAGTTGCAAGGTTTCAAGAAGTCGATCTTATATCTAGAAAAATCTCCCGAAAGTATGAATGTAATTTAAAAAGCAAGATTAACCCCAATTCGAGCAACTTCGATGACTTGAATGCTCGGATAAGACGATCTGTAGCTTTTGAACGCACCTTTGTGCAGTTGACTCTCGTGTTTGCGACACTTTGCCCGTCGATTCTGGAACCAAACCTGAACCCTAGCTTCGCTCAGACCTAATCTCTGGCTGAGTTCCTCCCTCATGAACGCATCGGGATAATGAGTCTCGTCGAACAACCTCTCCAACTCGGCCAACTGTTCTAAGGTGAAGTTCGTCCGAGATCTTCTTTGCTTTCCGTTTCCGTTTCCGCCGTTCCGGCAGTTCGAACCTGCAGAAGCATTAATATCATTTTAAGTCGATGTCACTTCAAGCTGATGTTATTTTAAGATGATTTCTTAGTACGTGTTATCGTTGTTACTGTCAGTGTCGTGACCGGAAGTCGGCGGTGGTGGTGGTGGAGGAAGACAAAATAATCCACCGGCTGCTGCGTAATGGAGGACTGCGGGGTCGAAAGCTGAACCTGCCGCGGTCACGTTTCCCCCAGCACCCTGCATCGGGGGGTGCAACCTCAGAGCTGGTAGGTACGGCGCCACCCTACAGGGTTCCAAGCTCGTTGGAGGGCTACGTGGTGCCAGCACCATTCCACCTGCTACCCCTAACACGAAGTTATTTTATGTTTAAAGCTTTTGTTAAAAGGGACACATTTAGTTTCTACTAAATTTTGAAATAAGTATTTTTTAAACGTTTAATATGTGTATGATATACAAACTTAATAGATTAATGGCTGTTTTAAAAGAATTCAATAAATTTTTTAACTGAACATTAGAGATTAATGTCTGTCTTTAAAGAAGTCAACAAGCTTTTTAACTGAAATGTTTAAGGTATCTTCCAACAGCAAAAACTTCGAATGTAAAGAATTAAGGGTGGGTCCAAGTTTTTGAATCTTCTAATTGGACACTTCATTGAATCACTAAAAAAAAATACACTTTCAAATTTATTAATCCTTAATATCTAGAAACTCAAATCTTTTTTGTGTTTAGTAGGAGTTGCAAGGTTTCAAGAAGTCGATCTTATATCTAGAAAAATCTCCCGAAAGTATGAATGTAATTTAAAAAGCAAGATTAACCCCAATTCGAGCAACTTCGATGACTTGAATGCTCGGATAAGACGATCTGTAGCTTTTGAACGCACCTTTGTGCAGTTGACTCTCGTGTTTGCGACACTTTGCCCGTCGATTCTGGAACCAAACCTGAACCCTAGCTTCGCTCAGACCTAATCTCTGGCTGAGTTCCTCCCTCATGAACGCATCGGGATAATGAGTCTCGTCGAACAACCTCTCCAACTCGGCCAACTGTTCTAAGGTGAAGTTCGTCCGAGATCTTCTTTGCTTTCCGTTTCCGTTTCCGCCGTTCCGGCAGTTCGAACCTGCAGAAGCATTAATATCATTTTAAGTCGATGTCACTTCAAGCTGATGTTATTTTAAGATGATTTCTTAGTACGTGTTATCGTTGTTACTGTCAGTGTCAATATCAGTGTAATCATCATTATCCTTGCAATTGTCATTATTTTTATTTACTGACCATGCAACTGCGTCACAACAGGAATTAATTATCAGAGAGTACTTCAATCTTTTAAGGAGAATCGATCAACGACGCAGGTCACCATGAAGAAATTTCGAATTAATGTTCCTCATTCGTTCACAGCTCATTTCTTCCGATCTGCCCGACATAAATTTCGCTCGTTTACGAGGATGTTATTCAAATCGCACGACGGGAACTTCCGATTAGGTGGCATTAGAGGAGCATCTCGTCTCTTCGACTCTTAAAAAGTTTCCTTGGAAAACTCGGCCAAGTATTTTCCTGGATAGACTCGATGAAATTCGCGATTTTTATTTGATCATTCAAACCCCTAAGCATCTCTGAATATTGTCGTGTATTTTTATAAAGGAACGCCGCCATATTACCTTCGTTTACAGCTTATTTAAATTCACAGATAAGTGAAATACATTAAAAGAGTGTACAGAGTACAAATTAAGTGTCCACAAACAACCAAGAAGTCCTTTAAGGAATTATCCTTCGAACTAATTGGTCCAGTCATCATCGGTCACCTCTAAAAACTCGGCGGGAAGATGTAAAGAAAAGGAGCCGCAAGCATCGCCGCCGACTGAGGAGGCTGCCGGGATAATTAACGGGCGCAAAATTTAATTAATGGCTGCTTAATGCTAAGTAACTACGGTACAAGTCTCGGAGGTGTTGCCGATGGAGACTGGAAGGAGATGCTCCGTTTCCAGGGAACAGGAGAGAAGGGGTCTCGGGGTTTGAGGGTGGATTAAGAGCCCTTGACGAACGGGATGTGATTTATATAATTTAGCAAAGTGGTGAGCTACGCAGTCTTATACGGGGGTCGTTAGTTACCCCTCCCGCCTCTCGCCACCTTTAATCATCCCTTCTCTTAACTCTCTGCATCTGTTCGTCTCAACCCCCTGAGATGCTGTCTTGAGATGCAGATGTTTGTCGATTATCGATAACGTATGATATATTGAATATTTTTCTGCTTATCAGTTTAATAATTTAGAAAGAAACGTCTCAAGACATGACACGATTAAAATCAACCCCTAAATTCAGCTACTTTTTTGTACTACATAAAAAGTTTCAACACAAAATCCGACCTACCAAATATCTCCACTTTTATCAACCATAAAAAGCGACCAAAAGGAAATGAATCTCTGGCAACCCCTTAAACGAGATAAAAATTGCAGACTAAAAAAGCAGCCTTAATCATGTGCGCTTTGATATGCAACAAAATGTCCCGGGTCTCATTAGTCTCGATCGGGTAAAAAAGACGAAAAGTTAATATTTACGAACATGCCGGTGTGCTCGCAAATTGCAATGAAAAAAAGAGAGAACAGAGGGTGGTAGGAAATGGCGAGAATCATAACGTCGATAAAAAAGTGGGACGAACGGTCCCGATTAAAACACCAAGAGAAATTACAGGGACCGGCATGGTCGCGATGACAACATAGTGTTGCGCTTTAATCAATTATAACGCGTACCTACGTAATCCAATCGGAGGCCTGGCAGAGCGAAGCCCGCATCCATATGTACAGCGGTTTAAAACCCCTCCTAGCAAAATAACTCGCGCGGTTTTCGGACCCATTCTCGTTCCAGTCATCCACCCCTTCATCATCAAACTTCCACCCACCCCTCTGACCCCCTTTTTCTCCGTCACTGTATCTCGTTTTACGCTCGCGCGTGTCACCGTCGATCCTTCCGAACGATTCGTCCCTGTTCTCGTCGATTTTATTGATCGAATCGGGCTTTTCTGCGACACGACGTTTTTAAACATTTCGCGATTTATACACACCCTAACTATTCGACGCAGTTTAATATTATGGAAATTAATATTATATCTTTTCATTTATGGATACGGTAGTTTCTTTTAACTTTTGGATACGATAGTTGCTTTAATTGACAGCGGAGATTTCTGAGAGTCCGTCACGTTAAACGAATTTGTGAGATAGGTAGTTCGTAGATTATGTTACCATCTCTTCGACTATACTCGATATCAATATGAAACAACAAAAATAAAGTAGGATAGAGACCATCAAACTAATCGACTGACTAATCGACTAATCTTCATTTAACAATATATGTAAATAGTTTATCAAAATGACGTTAAAGCAGATGTACTTAAGATGGCCGACCTTATCTTATTCTTTGATTAAAATCAAAGAACAAAGAACAGAACGAAAGAATACAAATCTTGTATGCACTCCGACTTGTCTCCTCCATCTCCGATCGACGAAACAGCGTCGAAGAAGAGAACGTTAGACGAAAGACCAAAAGAGAAGAACATAGGTGCAAACATATTTGGTGCAAGAGTAGGAGAAAGAAAAGGTTAGAACCCTCGTAGAAAAGCCGAAGCAATCACACTCGGACAGAAGGGGCCGCTAATTCGATTACTAAGAGCGCTGCCCTGTTGGCCTGATCCAGTGAAACCACCCTCGAAGCTCGGTGATCGTCGTTGGTATCCCTGTATTTTTCCCCCTGGCGAAAAACCGCTCGAGATATCGTGGCCATTAGGCGTATAAATGCGTCCAGATAACCCTGTTTAACCCCTCTGCCGGTTTGTCGCGTGTACCGGTAACTGCGTGTGGCACGTGGTCCTCCACTTTCATGAATAACTCAGGAACCAACGATTAACTGTTAACCCTTTTTTCTTCCGATCTTGTAAGCAATCGAGGTAATTTGGGGGACGCGACAATATTTGCTGGGGTAATGTGGAATTGGGGAATGTGGGAATTGAAGAATGTGGAAATTGGGGAATGTAGGAATTGGAGAATAACCCGCAAAAATTAAAAATAACATCCATAAACGAAAGTAAAAATAATTCGAATAAACGTGAAATTTACGAGCGTCGGCGAACCAAGAAAAAGAGCCAAGAGCCCCGAAGATTTATAAGGGTGTAACTAAAGGGAGCCGCGTAAATATCCAGAAAAATTCAGCCAGTTTTCGAAGGGAAGTAACTCCGGCGGAGCATCGCCATACTTCAAAAACTTACAAGGTAATAAACATGCGAGTTTGACCAGGGGTCAAGCGGAAATGCTGCGGTAATATGTGGTGTTTGGAAAAGAAGCGTGTACGAGAATAGATCGACGAGGTCAACGCCGAGTTGGACAAAGTGGCTGCTCTAACGCCGGGCTGATCTACTGCGACACCGGCCTTTTTCTTTTACTGATGTTTCTCTATCTTCCGAACAACGTGAAATATTGTGCTGTGCTCTGTTAGAATGGCTAGAATCTGGGGATGTTTTGGGGTACTTCGATGTTGTGTACAGAAACGAGGGTTAGAAATTTTGGGGTTTGAAAATTTGCGCATATAGAAATTTGAAAATGTCTTTGCAGTGTCAGTCATTTGGACATTTGCGAGTTAAGAAGTTTGAAAACGTGAAAACTTTGAAACCTTAATATTTGATCGTCCAAAAATCCCAAAGCCTTCAGTTCCCGAAACCCCCGCCATAAATTGCAACTCGCACTAATTTCAAAAAAATAATGCATCGAATTCGAATGAATAGAAAAGCAATCATTGCATGGAACATTTTTCACAAAAGATCGTACGCGATTCCGCAGTGTTTCTTCTTCCGGCCGGGTTTATTTATGGTTTTACTTCGCGGCGTCCGATGGCTGCCGGCCGGGTAGATTGCTTTTTGATTTGCGCTTAATCGGGAAAAGTTATGGGCCCTCGAGAGATACGAGCGAAAAGAGAGCTAGAGAAGGATGGAGAGGGAGGTTTTCCACCCTGTTAGGGGGCGTACACAACTAACGCGGCGGGCCGCATATTAAACCATAAATTCATGCGAGTTTTGCCCGCAATAGACGCCGAGTTATCGCGTCGAGGAGACCGAGCGGCGTTTTACTTTGAACACCGTCACTTTTTAACGCGATTTTCATTCGACCTGCTCGAACGCGCGTTCGCTTTCCGTCCAATTTACCGACGCGTATTTAACCCCGACTACTCCCGCGCGTCGATTGCATTTTTTATCGAACCCCTTCCGAATTGCCGGTCCATCCTTGCCGACCGTTTCCCCGCTGCGACCACGTCGATCGTTTTGCACGCTATTCTTTTTTTCATGCTCTTGTAAATTACTGGCCAGGGTCAGAACCGTTTCTATACAGAACAAACGGAAGATTGATCGAGAGCGAAAGTTTCGGGATGCTTTTCACATCTGACGCCATTTTGATTACAATGTTCCTTGGACAACTTTGGATAACTTCCGACATCTTTAATTACTTTCTGCACTTTTTAAGTAGACTTCGATTAAACTTGTCATTTGACTATTTTATAGTACTCAGGATATAACAAACAACCTTATCTTCTTATAAGGTTTCATTTTATAGTTCCGACCACCATCTTGGATCTCCTACTAAGAATTTTCAGATACCAAACTTATACTTCAAGTTAGTAAATATCATTTTCAAAGACCAACTCTGAGGACCTTATGAAAACTTTTTTAAACTCCTTCATAAAACAATGTACAACAAAGATTAATTTGAATTTTTTAATTTTTTAATTTGAATTAAAAAAAAAGAATTGTCACTCCTAAAACCGCAGGTAAAAATCACGTAATGGAAGCCATCGGTATCATCTGGCATTCAATGCTAGTTTATTCATTCGACTGAATTTATCAGTGACAACGAAAATCAATATTTGAGGAATCAATTGGTCGTATAAAAAATGTGGAAGTGTGACAGGGAAGAAAAGTGCAAGTGGTGTTATTCGATGGCTGTTATTGAAGTTGACTTGGCATGTGGGTAAAATTGGAGGTCGGTGGTCGTTACGTTGTGAACGGTCAGCTATTCCCAATCACTTCTGAGCTTTATTGGACGACGTACTGAATTATAAACGAACATCGAACCCTTCGACGATACGTGTCCGACTAGGAATTCGAAGGTTCCTGACCTTACACCCTACGCAATCTTAATTCCCTCGAAATACTTTTCAACTTTCAAAACCATTCAACATTTCTTCGCTGATGTTACTTTATTTACGTTACTTTATTTTAGATGTTACAAGTTAAAGGTTATTGTATTAGCATTTAGTAATTAGAGTAATAGGTTATAATTCGATTTTCAGATTTTTCTATTCAGTGTTAAGTTACATACATTCAGGTGTACTATGTCTTCTTGCAAGACTAAATATGGTATGTTGGAGTTCCAAGATTAATATACATATATAATACAAACTAAGTGCTGTTAAAGTTATTTTTATAAAATTATTACTTTATGCTTGATCAAATTTTCCCAGCCCTTTGTCGAGTTTAGAATGTCACAAGCGATGTAAACAATAATTATTTAAAAAATTAAAATTACCTTCATATCAATAAACTCATCTTCGAAAAATAATAATCAAGTAACTTCTACATAAACCACGAAAACTTACCCTTGGTAACTTCTTCCTGTCCCTGCACCAAGGCCCTCGACGGCTGCGGAAGTTTGTGTTCCGTCGATTTCTCGTTCGAATTCTGAGATTTCAATTCGACACAGTTTTCAGGACTAGTGGATCGATCTCTGGAAATCGGTGGCGGCGAAGGACTGCATCCTAATAATTTTCTGACCGACAGTTTCAATTCCGGCGTTTTCAAAGGCGGTAGACTGTCACCAGTGTCTTTGACCTCTTTGGTCTTGGTAGCGACGGAGAGGTCTTCCGGTTGCAGCCGTCCTTCCGGCGACGGCGGCTCGTCCACGCTGCTGGCCTCCACGCTCGATTCCTGAGCCGATTCGCGAGTACTCGCCCCGACATCTGGAGAACGATTGCCTCGAATCAATCTAGAGAAACTGTCTTTTATCTTACGAGGATGGACCTTGAAACGACAATGATTTTCAAATTTAATTCTTGAATTTTCAGAGGCAAGCATTTTTATTGTAAAAGGATGTGGGAGCATGGCCGGAGAAAATGAACAGAAGCGATGTTTAAGACATTGAAGACTGAAGACATTCGTTGAAAACAAAAGTGAAGACATTTAAGACGTTGAAGATGTTGCAAACGATTATTGAAAACGATGAAGATGCAACAGAATTTACTTTAAATATCTGAACGAAGATAATAAAACAGCATTGTTAAAAACCGACATCGAAGAGACCAAAGACTGAAGGAGTTAGAATTCTATTCTTCAAAGAGCTTCCGCAAAGATCAAACTGACAATCGAGAGTTCACGGAGGAAAGCTCTTCGTGCACGTTCGCGATATCTTTGGGAACAAATAGTGGAAACGATTCGCGCATGAGGATCGACTGTTTACCAGTTCAACGATTGGAAAAGGAGGTTTGAACAGTCTGTTGAAAGTTCACGATAGCACGATTTGACAACCTGTGTAATTGTAAAAGACCGACTGAATCACTTAAAACATAAATCGTACATCCATGTACTGTGAAGTAGTGTATCCACAGAGAATCCCTAATAAACCACCATCACTTATTGTTGAGTTTCTTGATAATTAACCCAATTCATGTTAGACATATCTACACTGAACTACAGCAATCCTAGCTCCTCACTCTCATCATCAGCTGGACCAGAAACTGAGTATCCCCATCTTAAAACCACTGTCAAGTTAACCACAAACGAACAAGAAAGATCACAAATACATTGTTATAATGTATTCGCTCCACAAACACCGTCAAACATGAAATGAATCCACTTACATATATCTAAGTGGTATCTAGGTCCTAAACCCTGAAAGGTTAAACATGACCGTACCAGAAATAATTGAAAAATTGACACAGTGGCAACCAGGTGCTCGAGGTGCAACCTCTGCGAGATAGTCCACCAACACCAGAAATTAAAGAACATCCTGATGCAACGACGCACAAACACGATCCAAGGGTAAGAGGGAATCTGAGCCTGAAAGCAGGGCAACGTACTGCAATCGTTCTCCGCAGGATCTCCGAGTAGGTGCGCGACACTGAGAGTGATCCTCGCGGAGGGTGGTCGTTCGTTGTTCCTGCAAGCGTGGCCGTCGACGGCGGTCAGGTTCGCGTTGTCGAAACTCTTGGAGACGAACTGGGCGAGCTGCTCCATCCTCGTGGAGAAGACTCGCGCGACGACGCGCCTCGCGTCCACCTCGTCGTCGAGAGCACCGAAGGGGGTGCACGGAGGTGGCTCGACTCTCGACACGGCGTCGCGACGCCACGCGCCCCCCAGGACGCCATTCGGACGCCGGCCAATCGAGGGACTCGTAGGCGGACGCGATACGCCCTCTACCCCTGTCCTTCTCCCTCTTTTCCGCCCCGTCCCTTTCGATCCTGCGTGTCTCTCCCTCGATCCTTTCGCGTCCCTACCCCGTCCCGATTACTCACCCCTACTGCTTCCTCCACTCCGACAGACTAGTAAACCGAGGCTCATTAGCATTTGAGCCCGCTTTTCCACCCGTGAAGCGCAAACTACCACCTACCAGATGGGCAAGCAGCCTACGCCGACCATCCTTTGGATATATTCAACCCCTGTGTAGCTTGCCAGCCACGTTTACGAGCATCCACCCACACCAACCCTACGTCGACGCCGTCACGCCGTTTCTATACCCTCCCTGCTAAGGCGTCCTCCTCGCTCCTGAGCGACGATGTTTACAGGATGTGATATACTTGCGATGATGATCGATTTAAAATGATTGACGAGATCATTCTCCCTCTCTTTTTCGAGGGATTTTATGCTGTCCACATAACGTGGACTCATGAATCTCGAGACTCGCTTTGAAATACTTGTAACAGAACCTTTTAAACAATAGAGGGTGATCTTAGTCCAAGTCAGACATGTGGTTACATCGTCCGAACCATGTTCGATCTCAACTTACATTTACCAAAGTCGGTAGCTTTTAAACAATAGGGAGTGTATGTAATCTTAGGGCGAGTCATGTTTCACCTCAACTTACGTATACTCTTAACAGCTAACGAAGCTAAAGTAACAGCTAACGAAGAATAATAAATATTACAACAAAGTATTATTACACGCTTGCTTCCTCGCGATTACAAGATTGATCACAAACCTAACCTACAGACAATATCGCCGTCTAAATTTTTCAAGCAATTTAACTTGAGGCAAAATTATAATAAGATAGGTTAAAAAGAAAGCGCGAGGTGAACACGTTCATAGGTGGTGGAAAATATTTGTGTACCAGTGTTTTACATCGAAATGGCCGTGTAACAGCCCTTTGCCACGCCAGCCGCGTCGCGAGTCTGGGACGTGGAGTGTCTCGTGTTTGCTGCTACCAAACTCGGCAATATTTAAATGGGATTGCGTTCGGGAATGTAATTGCCCGGACAAACACGGGTCCGTGCTACGCTGGGACGGATATGGACACAGAGAAACCGCCCTCTACCCCTGTCCTTCTCCCTCTTTTCCGCCCCGTCCCTTTCGATCCTGCGTGTCTCTCCCTCGATCCTTTCGCGTCCCTACCCCGTCCCGATTACTCACCCCTACTGCTTCCTCCACTCCGACAGACTAGTAAACCGAGGCTCATTAGCATTTGAGCCCGCTTTTCCACCCGTGAAGCGCAAACTACCACCTACCAGATGGGCAAGCAGCCTACGCCGACCATCCTTTGGATATATTCAACCCCTGTGTAGCTTGCCAGCCACGTTTACGAGCATCCACCCACACCAACCCTACGTCGACGCCGTCACGCCGTTTCTATACCCTCCCTGCTAAGGCGTCCTCCTCGCTCCTGAGCGACGATGTTTACAGGATGTGATATACTTGCGATGATGATCGATTTAAAATGATTGACGAGATCATTCTCCCTCTCTTTTTCGAGGGATTTTATGCTGTCCACATAACGTGGACTCATGAATCTCGAGACTCGCTTTGAAATACTTGTAACAGAACCTTTTAAACAATAGAGGGTGATCTTAGTCCAAGTCAGACATGTGGTTACATCGTCCGAACCATGTTCGATCTCAACTTACATTTACCAAAGTCGGTAGCTTTTAAACAATAGGGAGTGTATGTAATCTTAGGGCGAGTCATGTTTCACCTCAACTTACGTATACTCTTAACAGCTAACGAAGCTAAAGTAACAGCTAACGAAGAATAATAAATATTACAACAAAGTATTATTACACGCTTGCTTCCTCGCGATTACAAGATTGATCACAAACCTAACCTACAGACAATATCGCCGTCTAAATTTTTCAAGCAATTTAACTTGAGGCAAAATTATAATAAGATAGGTTAAAAAGAAAGCGCGAGGTGAACACGTTCATAGGTGGTGGAAAATATTTGTGTACCAGTGTTTTACATCGAAATGGCCGTGTAACAGCCCTTTGCCACGCCAGCCGCGTCGCGAGTCTGGGACGTGGAGTGTCTCGTGTTTGCTGCTACCAAACTCGGCAATATTTAAATGGGATTGCGTTCGGGAATGTAATTGCCCGGACAAACACGGGTCCGTGCTACGCTGGGACGGATATGGACACAGAGAAACAGGCTGGTAGAAACGAAAACGAAGGGTGTAGAAGATGGTTGCCATTTAAAAAAAAAAAGAACGTTCGATAAATATTTGCATCTGTTTCTTAGCTGCAAATTGGGTGTGTCGGTTTAATTATGGGGTTGGTCTTTTTTCATTTGTCTTAATTTGAGGGAAACGGAAACCTCTGCCGATATGGAGTATGGCATTGGAGTAAGATATTGCTGTTGGAAATAGAGTCTACGGGTTTTTTAGAGACATTCAAATATTTTAATTGTTGGCTAGACATTGTATTGGACGTGTTTCTTGTGGTATTGTGACGTGTTGATGTAGGTATTTAATTTTTAGAGTGTAGTATTTCTATAGAAAATATAGAATATGGCGTGTGGAAGTTACATGTGTAACAGTTCCACACACGGTAAATTACACGCGTAGCAAGTCCATATAAGTTCCACATGTTGTAATTCTAAGCGTAGCAATACGGTGCAAAGTGATGACCTACATATATGTAGTATTACCAATATCGCGAGTGAATAGCAATATTGTATTCGTAATTTGTAAATCATTAACCACCCCAACTGTGTAATATTACACATTCCAGAGTAGTGACTCCACCGATAACCCGATCACGCGAATAACCAAATGATCCAAAATGATTCGTAAAGCCTCGTCACCCAAAATTGCAGCAATGTCCACAACGCTCCTCGACACCTCAATTCCTTGCAAGAAAATAATAAATCCCGCAACGCCATACCTCAAATAGCCAGGTGAAGGGACATGGAGAAGTTGCAGAAGAATAGAGAGCGTAAGAGGCGTATTACCGCGAAAGAGAACTAGAGTCTAGAGAGACAAAGAGGATAGAGGTTCGAGAGGAGCGGAGAAGGGTATGGTCGTATAACGCAGGCAGACGGAGCCAATCAGGGCGCAATGCGATTACCTTAACGAGAAATCCGATTACTTATTCATTCGCCTAACTCGAAATCAGTTTAACTAATCGTTTAATTCGGTAGCTACCCCTCCGAACGTTTCCGAAGCAGACACGAGCCGTGTCTGTGGACGGGAACGTTCGATAAATATTTGCATCTGTTTCTTAGCTGCAAATTGGGTGTGTCGGTTTAATTATGGGGTTGGTCTTTTTTCATTTGTCTTAATTTGAGGGAAACGGAAACCTCTGCCGATATGGAGTATGGCATTGGAGTAAGATATTGCTGTTGGAAATAGAGTCTACGGGTTTTTTAGAGACATTCAAATATTTTAATTGTTGGCTAGACATTGTATTGGACGTGTTTCTTGTGGTATTGTGACGTGTTGATGTAGGTATTTAATTTTTAGAGTGTAGTATTTCTATAGAAAATATAGAATATGGCGTGTGGAAGTTACATGTGTAACAGTTCCACACACGGTAAATTACACGCGTAGCAAGTCCATATAAGTTCCACATGTTGTAATTCTAAGCGTAGCAATACGGTGCAAAGTGATGACCTACATATATGTAGTATTACCAATATCGCGAGTGAATAGCAATATTGTATTCGTAATTTGTAAATCATTAACCACCCCAACTGTGTAATATTACACATTCCAGAGTAGTGACTCCACCGATAACCCGATCACGCGAATAACCAAATGATCCAAAATGATTCGTAAAGCCTCGTCACCCAAAATTGCAGCAATGTCCACAACGCTCCTCGACACCTCAATTCCTTGCAAGAAAATAATAAATCCCGCAACGCCATACCTCAAATAGCCAGGTGAAGGGACATGGAGAAGTTGCAGAAGAATAGAGAGCGTAAGAGGCGTATTACCGCGAAAGAGAACTAGAGTCTAGAGAGACAAAGAGGATAGAGGTTCGAGAGGAGCGGAGAAGGGTATGGTCGTATAACGCAGGCAGACGGAGCCAATCAGGGCGCAATGCGATTACCTTAACGAGAAATCCGATTACTTATTCATTCGCCTAACTCGAAATCAGTTTAACTAATCGTTTAATTCGGTAGCTACCCCTCCGAACGTTTCCGAAGCAGACACGAGCCGTGTCTGTGGACGGGTTGTTGGGTGTGGTGGGCATGGGTATCCCCATCCAGCCTGCCTGGCCAAATAGACCCGCACACGCGCAACCACCAGTCTCTACACGCGCTCTACCCGGTTAAACCGTATCCGAAGGTGAGACGGACGGACAGAGAGAGAAAGAGAGCGGTCGGTGGGGAAACGGCCGGAGGAGAGGCCTCATTCAATTCAATTACGTAATGAATTGTCGTGTCTTGAGTAAACACCCTTCCTCACCGCGACTCGCCGCCGGAAAATCGACGCTACGGGGTACCGGTGGGGATGTCGTAGATGCCGTACAATCGAATATAGCGCTGTTCAGGTGTGGTGACTTCCTGCAAAATGGTGCGTGCTTCAGAGATGGAGTACATAGTTTGATGGAGTTGAAATTTTGATAGAGTGCAAAGTTTGATGGAGTACAAAGTTTGATGAAGTATGTAAGTGTCGGAGGGACTTGTAAACTGGGAAATATACTGTAAGAACTTTTTCTTTTACTTACAATTAGGCATCAGTGCTACCACTGATCCATAGACACTCAAGTTACTTATCGAAGTACAATTTTCAATTACAACATCAATGAAATAAATTTGCCACATTTTTCTACATTTCAAATTCAAGAATTTTTTTATACGGATAATTGAAGAAAAGCCAAGAAGTAGAATGACATGTTCACGAGTTCCATATATGAATAAAGCAATAGAAAATGGCAGTTTAACTCGAACTTGAGGCACGCAAAATCTCTCGCTTTCGCTATAAGCTTGTATCTTGTCGATCGAATATCTTCCCCACGAATATCATCCCCAATTTTGTATCGACAGCGTGCGTTTTCGCGGCGACATTTCTAGCTTTCTCTCATTTGGTTTGCAGAGGCAGTATCAGTAATTCAGGTGTTCTGTCGGAATTAACAGGAACGGTTCGATGGGGTTACTTCAGAGTTTGCATAGCTACCGGAAACGGTCACGATCAAAGGAAACCGAATCGACATTAGTGGAAACTCCGGTGGATCTCTCATTTGACGATGATGGAATTTCATCGTGATGTCAGATATATCCGATGAAGCTCTTTATCTTAACTAGCTTTTAATGAACTTTTAATATAATCTGTAGTTTTAATAGAAATATCAAGTGGACTTCCGGTACCGGCCGTGTATGAAACATTAAGAAAAAAAATAAATTTAAAAAATTCTACGGAGAGTTAAAAAAAATTATTTTCTCGAGGTCTTCGCGAAAAGAATGAATAAATGTCTGTACAAGTAACTGACTGACTAAATTTTTGTGCATGTCCTCATAATGAAACAATCTTTCTGAGAGTCGATTAAATACCTCGAACACAAAACGATCCTCTCACACTTCAGTATGAACTAAACAAATTTTAAGTGTAATGGGGATGTTCATCCCCCAACCTTCATGGCGTCGTTCTGGTCCAGACTCCAAATTCCCAGTTTAATCTCAACAAAGGTATCCCCTTAATCGTCTAGAAAAATAAACGACGGTAGTCGAATATAAAAGAATTACAGATTACGTTCTAACCTAAAGTAACCTTTCGAAACACCCGTACAATTATTATTCTTTTATTCGTACATTTATTATTCGCAGGAAAATGGACGTCAGTCCACGTTGCTCAGAGGGTTCGCCATATTGCAGACAGTAATGAAGGAGAACATGCGATCCTTCTGGTTGTGGAAACGAAAGGAACGCGAGTACGGAACCGGAAACTGCGGAAAGCCTCCTCAGAAACAGATAGTAGAACCCTGTACAGGATGTCCGTCAAAATGCCTCGAACCCGGTTACGGAAAACCCATCAGAAAAAAGAAAAGAAGTTTGTTCAGCCTAAAATCGAAAGAGCCCGAGGTGATCAAAGAAAAGCCCAGCAACTGCGAGGAAATCAAACCCGTCGAAGAAAGGTCAACCTGGTGGGAATCGATCTTTGGACCGGACCCTAAAAGGTCCTGGCCCGATCCTTGCACTTGCCGATTGGCTGTCAGACAGAAGAAGCTGTGTCGTGCACAGGATCCTAGGTTAAAAGATCCCCGGTACAAAGAAACTGCGGGTGACGTGTTTTTGTATACGGAAGCGGTGAAGCGTGGTACATCTTCTTGTCGGGAGCCGCAGCCTAAACCTCCGCCGCTGTACAAGGTTCCCAAAGCGGTGCTGTACAGGGACATGTGCGCGGGAGAATTGGTAGGAATCGGTTTTTGGAGATTTTAGATTGGTAAGGAATTGAAATCTGATAGTGCTAGAGGAAGCAGTTGATAGAGAAAATGAGGATGTAAGAAGAGGAGAGGGTACGATGTTAGATATGATGGTATAGGTTGCGGGGAGGATGATAGGAAGTGTGGATATATAGGGTGGGACAATGCAGAGTAGTACAATATAGAGCATGACAATGTGGGAATACTAAATACGAGTAGCGCTGATGTGGGAGACCTAGATGTGAATAGCGTTGCTATGGCAGATCAGGGATAGGTGAAGCGTTAATATGGAGGTTAATAGAGAACGCGCCGACCCCTAGAGAACCTAGGAGTTCCCCAATAGAAAGCGCGCCAATATTTCAAATCCGCGACATAGTACGCGTCAAAATAAAGAATCCCCAACACAGAAAATCTTACAATCCGTGATGAATATTGCATTAAATATGCTCCAGCTAGAATTTTCAATAATTTTACTGCCACAACAGGCACTTTTTCGAGGGACACCTAAAGCGGAGGAAGAAGTGTATCCGGTAGCGAAACCATTCCCAATCCCGTTCGAAGAAATGAGGCCACCGGAAAAGAAAAGGAAAGTGTTTACCTGTCAACGTGGAATTCGATCGCGAGATACCTTTCGACCTACGGCAAGAGATTCGGATACTTATAAACTACGTTCTACAGTTCCGAAACAGTACTCGTCCGTGATTTCTGAGGATGTAAAAAAGAAGCAGGCTGCTGCTCGTGAGAAGTTTAAGAGCGACATGAGTCAGGGGTCTCAAAGACGTTCTAGGGTGGAACATCTTAAATATCTTGTTCAACAAAGGGACACGTTACATTGTATGTCTACAAATTAAATGATCTTTGAGGGACCAGAATGATTTACGACGAACAAAATTAAGTGGTTAATTATTGGTAAAATTGTATAAGTGATCTATTTTATTTCGCGAATAAAGTTCTAAAAATGTGTACTACAGTTTATTCAGTAGTCAAGTACAGAAATAAACTAATAACTATTAATTTAACTACTGGTGATTCTCGAAGAATGTTCAAAACTAATCGTAAGTTTAAATTATCGCGCGCGTTTCGGAAATTGTACTAGTGGCGCCATCTAGCGGTGAAAGGTGGTACTACAAGAAATGAAAAATTACGTTTTTCGCGAAATAAAGCATTTTTATGTATAGCTAAGGGTTAAAAATCCTTTCACGATCATCAGAGAGTCGAAAAAATGTATTTATAGCAGGCTGAAAGCTTTATATTCGAAAATGAAAAAAAATTCATTTTATGGACCACAAAATGCTTAGCCATCTAGCGGTGAAAGTTGGAACTAACTTTGAAAAGAGCGGTCAACACTTTTCCGGCTTTGAACTCGGAATGAAAACTATTGTCTGTTAGTTCCAACTTTCACCGCTAGAAGAAAGCGCGCGTGTAATTCAGAATTTTCAAATTGTGCGACACGTGCAATTCTACACCTCGTCTGTAATAAAATTAGTCCTAATTGATAGGAGAGAGACTAAAATTAACAAAATTTATACCTTCTGCATCTCGTCCACGTTCACGAAAATTTAAAATTATAGAAATCTAGGAATTTCGGGATCTCGAGGATATCTAGGGATTTAGTAATTTAGGAATTTAGAAAACCACGAATATGACGGTACATGAATTTAAAAATATGAATAATAATTTTGGAAAATACACTCAAGATAATCCATATATTCATCGTGCCTCGTTTTTATTCATACAAATAAGTAACATAGGTTATGGTGCGTGAACCAATCAGAGCTAATCTGCGCAACTTGAGCAAAATTTATTATCTATTACGCAGTTTTGTATAAAAGATATAGATTGGCAAGAGTGTAGAATTGGATCGTTACCAATTTCATTCGCTCTTCGCTTTACGCAATAAGGTGCCGTATACACCCTACGTATTTGTTAAAACTTTAATAAAATATCGTGCAAAATGTTGCGATTTATGGGAGAACGAGCAGCCTCCGCTGTAAGGAAGTCCATAACACCACGTAACACTGCTGTCATAACTCAGACCTTCCGTGCTTCCCACGATGGACCTCAGGAGAGCGAGGAAGAATTCAATAAAAAATACATTGATTATCTAAATCGTCCGCAACTTGATAACTGGGAAATCCGACAAGTTATTACCAAATTGACTGGTTAGTATATCAGAGCTTTTTTTTGCTTTTATACTTTGTATCTTCTGTGGTCTCCTTCAAATTTAATATAAATATTTAATTTGCTGAAGGTTTAAAGTTGCCAGATACTGTATAATGATTAGAAATTTTCAATATAAATTTAAATATATGCATCGAGTATATGAATTTGCTTTTAGGTATGGACCTTGTACCGGATCCTTCGATCATTTGTGCAGCTTTGAGAGCCTGCAGACGGTTAAATGATTTTGCTCTTTGCATAAGAATTTTAGAAACTGTTAAGGACAAATGTGGATCTAAACAAAAAGAAATTTACCCTTACATTCTGCAAGAAATCAGGCCCACTTTAGATGAATTAGGCATCAGCACACCAGAGGAGCTGGGTTATGATAAACCTGAATTGGCCCTACAGTCAGTTTATGACATACATTAAGCTAAAAGCTGAACAGTGAACATAGTATTTATATATAGAAACTTTCTATCGAACTGTTCATAAACGAGTATACAATTATTCTGGGAATCGAGATAAAAATATAATTATTATTATATTCCTGTTATTAAATACTGATTTAAATAAATACGAATTGCCCTAAGTCACACCTGTTTTATGCATAAAATGAATAAAATAAAATTAATCTTAATATTTAGTCAAGATTAACAAAACAAAATGATATGTATACATTATATTTTAATTGCAACTTCCATTGGTTCTTCGTGTTGCTTCTAATCTCTGAATATTTTTAAAATGTATGTTTCCTTCTTTTTACATCAAAAGTAACCAAAGCAGAAAAGTGACACAACGACGACATATGTACAAATTACATTATAAGATACACAGTGATAAAGTCATGTACACGTACATCTATAATTGTTTAAAATGGTATTACATATTCTTCTCAGATGATATTAAACTTAATTCATGCTCGGTATAATTTGTTACAAACAAGAACAGAAAAAATAGAACATGGTCTTACATGGGAGTATCGGTATATTACATTCGGTATGTAATGGCCATAGTTTTTAAAAAACAATATAACAATTAATATCTAATTGTTGTGATTCGATCTACTGATAATTATTAAATTTAACTACTTTCTTCTATAATGTTATAAAAACTTTTTTTTGGTATCATTGATACTTGATGTCGAGGGCAGTTTATTGTTTCAATGTTACGACTCTGCTCCTGACATACGCTTCGAAAAGAAAAGCGTACTACACACCTACAGGAACTTCATTCATGATAAAGACATGTGTACCGATAAATATTAACGAAATAAGTATCACAAACTCGTTATCTGAAAGTAATACGTATACACAGAATGAAAATGCACACAAGATAGTATGTAGAAATACTGAAAAGTATAAAAATGTAAGATGACATTGTCAAAAAAAATATGTTCGTCAAAGTCAGTCACACATCCTTGCAAAACTTGACACCGCAACATTGAAACAAGATTGCTCAGAAAAAATAACATTTTTCCTAACTTTATAAATATTGTATAAAAGTGAGTTGGCATTTAAATGCACGGAAACGTTTCAATTTTCTTTTTAGTCGATAACAAAAATAAATACATTTCAGATTACTTGGAAATAAAAGTGAATGACAATACGCTGTTTCTTTGTTTCTACATTCTGTACACTATCGAGATAAAACAGAATGGAAATGAAAGAATTCAGTTTCCTTTCATTAAAATTACACAGTGCTCCTTGAAGCATCGTGTAAAGTAACTTTCTATCGTAAACGTGGTACTAATACGATAAAATTAATTACGTTTTATGGGTGTGCATTGAGACTTCAAATCCGTATGTCTTATTTTCCAAAAAATTATATCTTATAGCCTATTTGTACCCGTCAGAAATGCTTAATTTTTTTTCTCATTTAACTCTACTGTCGATCATTAATGTATATTAATGTGTTCCATTATATGTCTATATCGTCAACAAAACATGATTTCTTTTCATATTTTAGTTTATCATAAAAATAGGCTACGTATTTCTTTACTTAATTTAATAGCCAAATTTCGTTAAATCAATTGATTTCCTAACGCAGTGACGGGCAGATCAAGGGCCCATAAAAGAGCTTCTGGGCATTGACATATTTAAGGGGAGCCTAGGGAGAATCTATGGAGAGGCTAGGAAGAATTTAGAGAGGGGACTAGGGCAAACCTAAGGACATCTCCCTGCTCCTAATAATCAGATTTCTGAAAATCAAATCCTACAGACTCAGGATCCATCGGTGCCCGTGACTGCAAACGTCACGCCCTGGTGGGTAACAACTGCCCATCACTGTCCTAATACCATCAAAATTTGAATCGTGTTTTATCGAATGTTAAAGAGATTTTTCTTTCATGCTTCTATAAATGTTTTCGAAATTCTAAACGATTTAAAGATTACTTTGTTCGTCTAAAAAAATGGCTTCCCTTTAACAAGTTCGACGAATCAATTCACAATAAATTATGTAATTTATAAACATCGATTCGTTGAATTAAAATGATCGTTTCGTCAATCTGATATAATTAAATTGTATAATTAGTAGTAGTTATTCTTTCTTATAAAATGATTCAACACAAATATTAAATTCTTTGGTATATCGATCGCCCTTAATGTTCCAACACTAAGACTAGACAAAAATATTTGTATCCTTGATCGTTCACTAGAAAAACGGTAATTCCCAGTTCGGTGGATACATGTTGCTACAAATAAATCGATGAAATCTGCAGATTTGCATTCATCGAGCGCGATAGTACTTTCTAAAAGTTAGTACTATTTCCGATAAATCGAATTACAAGTGAATACTCTAAGTGTCTACGATGAATCTTGAATACAAATATGATTACATTCAAGTCCCAATGAATCGTCGAACATTCAATCATTTTTTCACTCTGCAAACATATTCGCTACTCGTTTACTGTTCTCACCCAAGAGGACACGCTACACAGTGATTCAGAAAAGACACAATCATTTTGCCTTAATATTAATAACACATATTGTTTTTCTTTTTTCTTAATACTCTCACTCTTTCTCTCTTTGAACACCACTAAATGTGCACCTGTCGCATTTTGGTGTTGACATAAAAGCTTTATATTAACTATGTAAAACGCTTTATTCTGGACTAGAGACGGTTTGTTGTTGCTGGCTGTCCTCGTCTTTAACAACTTCAGCCTGCATGGCTTTCGTGAGAACATTAGCATCCTTTAATGATATCACTTGAAGAACCTGATGTTCACCGGCTGCGTTAATCATTGTCATTGGATGCCCTTGAATAGTGACGGCTTCGATACTAGTTTCTCCATTTCCAGGCTCAACCTTTGGAACTTGAACCATGGGTGTGACTACTTGCATTGTACCGTCACTCTGAATATTGGCAACCATAGTTTGATACATACTAGCAGACACCGGTACTGTTATTACCCCTGACACGGAAACGGGATAGCCTGAAACAGATAAGCAACTGGTCCTGTGTTCTGCCCCTAACCAGGCATTTGTCTGTATAGTAAACTGGGAATTAAAGAATAAAATTTAATAACGTTAGAAGCAGCACACTTTTTCCACGATCACTCGTGTTACGTATCTTTATTTCAAGAATGTGACGCTACAATCTAGATCCTCTTAAATTTGTGCTTTAAGGCTACCAGTTTACGATACAGCGAAGAAAGTTATCGGACTATGCGTACTTTCTAAAAGGTCAAATATATTCGTGTTAAATACTAGAAATCATATAAAACTGATAAATATAAACAATTACGTTATTAATAGGGTGTGCGAAAGAAAAGATATATATCTAGACATTATCTAATATTTAAAAAATTGAATAAATTCAAGATTTAATTTCCTTTTTTTTCTGGCACACCCTCTTAACATATTAATACGCAAACATAACCACATCTACGCTTCAGAAAAATAAGGCATTAATGAAAAGCAACGGATGTTTAAGCCATTCCATAAAAACTAAGTTGGTGAGCAGAAATCATATAAAATACAAACTTTAAATGTAATGTAAATTTATTGATTCGAATAAATTAGAAACATCGATTGTGAGTAGCTTAAACAAAGGCTGCTAAATATAATAACTATAAAATAATAAAAACATCAACAAAAAATACTCTATGTACAGCAGTTTTATTTCTCTTTGTGTTCAATTAAAGTAATAACCAATTTTCGGTAATAATGATAAGTAGTTATTGTAGAACGGGGACAGGTTCTTTCGTGATCATGAAATACCTTCTTTTATTATCATTATTTTCTCGTGTTTTTTCTTGTTAAATTTAAAATCTTAAGAATCCATGTAAACGGATCGATTGTAGTCAGGTTACGATTATATTTTAAAACATTCGAAAATCTCTTTTGCTTCTGTTCAGAGGAGTACAAATTATACATGCAACACCTCGATACGCAAACGTATCGTGTCCACCATTAATTACTTTACATTTTAAAAGAATATGTACATGCACGTACATAAGATTGTACAACTCTATTTGTTCTTCAACAAAATTTAATGTTATCCCGGAACGAGAATGATCGAATGTACATAAACACGCATAAAGCGACACGATATCGAGAAAAAAACTGCATTTTCATAAATTCGTTACGTCTTCGCACAACAGTTAAATGTACATCATAAAAATTAATACGTCATATGTATACCGAATGCTCCTCTGATGATTGTTACAACATTGTATCATGGATTCTTAAAGAAGAAATTAAAATAAAGCTGTGCATAGCTCCGAGTGAAATTATCGTATATGTACAGTACCAAAAAAAGACGAACTAATCAATATTCTACTTTCGTTGTACAAAGTAGTAGAACACGTAGGTATTTTTCTTGAATGGAGCGTAGCAGACAGCATGCAAAACAACAAAGGATCCTGGGCCAGTAAACATGAATTCACTGTTCAAGTAGCTCCTGGCCGGCGACGGTGCAGAGCCTATAGAAAACTGTTTTACCGTGTCCATCTTCTCCTGTGAGAATGATCTGACCATCTTGGCCTAATGTAGCTTCTGTAACGCTATTCAGGTCGACAGCGACGCTAGTACCTTCTGCGCTACCTGCTACTTCAGCGAGTGCTTGCACTTCCCCTTGACTTGTATGGATCTGCACGTCAAAACAATTAACCTTCTTAAACATTTGATTTGCTAATAAAAATTCGCTTACGAATAGCAAATAATTGACGATTACTTACAGTAGCAACACCTTGAACTTGAGCCGTTGTACCATCTGGTAACGTAATTATCGGATTACTAGGATCAACTTGAATGATGGAAACTGTACCATCTGGATTTGTTATCGTTTGTAAAACTGTTGTTGGATACTGGGCCGTCATCTATAACATAAAAGAAATATTAGTAATTACAATGCTTCTCTGTGTTCATGTTCCAACTTCTTCAAAGAAAATGTATAAAATGAAAAAATAATACAAAAATTGTCTACAATGTATAACGAAAGAAAGCTCAAAATGTTTGTAAAGTATGATTCGTCTATGATTGAAATACCGGTAGTTGTAACAGCATTTTAACAGTTCTAGAAATAAAGATAGATCAAACTCAAATAAGGGAAACCAAACACATGAACATAAGTGCGACTCGTGTTTAAAAGAATTTCAAATTTTAATTTTTTCTTTTGTATATGTGTACTTGTATAAAATTTGAATTGAAAGAAACAGCATGATAAATACTTTAGTTTAAAGATGTTTTTATATTTAGAATTAGTAACTGGATAAGAAATTATCATGTTATTTCGTTTAATTCTTTTATTTTTGTGTACTCCATCCACTCCCACCTGAGTGGCAGTGGCAAGAGCTGTAGGAGACGCGGCAATGATTTGTGCTGGCGAAGAGTTTCCCTTAGATGAATCCGTGCTGCTCAGGCGAACAACTCCCACCGTCTGTTGTTGTTGTTGCGACTGTCCACCTTGCCCTTGACCGGATGAATGCGACGGATGTGACGAGGAATGAGGCGCTGTTTGTTGTATTAGTACATTCGACTTATCGTCTTCTTCGCTGAATGCAGGAAGAAGATCTTCTCTTCCATGAAATTTGTAACAGTTTATTACAATTTGTCTTAACGCGTGGGTCCACGAAATCTGAAATATTTAATATAGACATTATGTCACGTAATATGACAATATTTTTGAGAATCACTGACTTTGCACACCTTTTGCTTCTCATCTTCCGATCTTGCATCCATACGCACATTAGCCCAAGGTAGTTCTTTTGGCCACCATGGCGGCCGTGTGCTATCTCTCCCCCAACCGGGTTTACCTCTGCCTGTAGAATACTTTAACATTAACGGGATAAATGCCCTGAGTTGAGCCTGTGTCATTTTTTCCACTGGTGTAGGAATGCCATCTATTATGAGGGGTGGCAATTCATATAATGATGGGTCATCTTGTACTGGAGGTGGAGCTTGTTGTGCAAGTGCACTTTCAAGTTCTTCCATTATAACATTTCTTAAATTTTTTACTACATCTTCTAACGGTTTTGCTCCAAATACTTTATAACTACTGTTTGGCTTTCCTGGCGTAGCTACTAATACTACTGCCTGCTGTCCAACTCGTGTTGCAAATTCGTCTATGGTTTGCTGTAATATGTATAACGATTTGTGAAATAAAATATAATAATAGAAGATTCAATATAGCTTTTTGTACTGTGCACTTACTCTGAGTTTCCTTAAAAGTCTGTTTTGTTGTCTTTTCCTAATGCTAGGATTTGTTTCAAAACTATGAGGTCGTTTCCGCTTTTTTGCCGAGACAATGGCGGCAGCCGCGGCTACACCAACAGGGCCTAAATGTGCATATTATTAACTATATGTTTTCTAATCTTACGATCCCACACCAATTAAAATGTCAATAAGATATTTTAAGGGCTGAAAAAATTATTGAAAAACCAATGAAAGTTTTTGTTATTTATATTTGTCTATATCACATACATATATATTTTATTGACATTTCAACATAAATATAATTTTATCTACGTTAAAACATAAAAGATGCAAAAGCAGTAGTGATATGAAACGTGCTTAATTCAAGAGTATATAATGTGTAGTATGCAGGCCACGGATCTTTATGCATTTACAATATATTGAAATCATAAAGTACATAAAGTTAAGTTATACATGTTATAATAATTAAGCAGAAAGGAAATTATTTAAAAATTATATAAAAGTATACTCTTGAATATTTTCTGATCAAGTCGAAAATGAATAGCTACAAAGTATTACATGTTTCTATGACATTTAGATACTAAACATAGCAAAAGTTATACACTGCAAAAAAAAGAAAGAAACAATTTTGGACAATGAACCTTCGTCTATGTAAAAAATGTTATGGATGTTTTGATGGACATAAAACAAATGATAAACGAATGTGTGAATAACATTAAACATAAATATGCAAATGAGAATGACACATAGAATGCAAAATTAAAAACAATAATATTATATATAAACAGTGTTTCCATGTAAATGTACTATCAAAGACATAAAGCAAATAATAATACAGCACACAAACAATGTAAAATGCATTTAATGATAATTTGTTCTGTTAATTTAATTTATATTATATATTATCACTTTGTATTATAATTTGAAAAATTAAATTAAATAAATAATTGTAAAATCAATAAATTCATGCTGCACTGTCAATGACATGAATAACAAAAATAACAAACGTATTTACTTTTAAATGCACAACAAAACATAAAGAGCTAAAAGTGTTAATCCAATTCTTTCGAATTGTCTTTGAACCAATGAATAGTTACCAGATCAGATGTATCATTGGCAGGCAGTATTTATTTGTATATTTTTTGTTGTTGATTGTGGACTACTGTAATCTTAAGTTTATACAAATATGTTTCCCCCAAAACTAATACTATTCAAAGACCCCATATTAATACCATTATTTGTTACACTCCAAAAAGATCTCCAAGTCCAATGTATGCTTCCATGTATATAGAGACATAAAAATCACTTTCCAACTAATGTTACTAGCCACAAACTATATTATACTAATGATCTTCAATATAAAACTTATAAATCTTTTCACTATCTTTTATGCCTGAGTTATTGAATTTAACCATTTAACATTATTGGTGCACCCTGTATGTTACTTTTTATTTGTAAATGAAAATGATTAGAACATAAATAACTCAAAAGGTGAAAAAGCAAAAAAATGGAAATCACCATTAGCGTGTTTGATTTGCCAACCTGCAGCGGCGAGCTGGGCCGTCACGTCATCATCCATAGCAGCTGTCAGGAGATCGCCTTCTTCATACGTTTCTGATCCACTACTTGGCTCATCATCATCGTCATCTGAGATTCTGTCCATTGTGCCGGACTCTGCACTAGGCAGAGACACCATTTTCTTATCTTCGTTCTCCGTTTTGCCTTTATTTAGATCACAGTGCCCTTTTGAAACAAATATCGGTCTGTACTTTTGGGAATTTCTTCTACATCACTTTCACCTATATAGAAAAATAATAAAAAATTTCATAAAATACATATACCAATCTATTAAGCATAAATATATAATCTTGTACTAAATAATCTATAACCAATTTATGCAGATAAATAACTAACAAAACTTCTATACAATTTTTGTAGCGATAGTACTACACATGAAATTGATTTTAAAAATAAAATCAATAAATTAACCCTCGGACAATAAACGCTGGATGCAAACTGGTCTTGTATTCATTCTAGTGCATTGTTGTGTATACAATGCAAAGGTCTACCTTTTTCAATGTATTATGGTAATGTTTGATTTTTCATTCAAACAGAAATTAAATATAAAATTTTGAAGTAGATTTTCTCACAAAGTTTTATACAAACAATTTTGTTTCATACTTCTGTCTTATTTCCTTTTTTGTAGATCTGCTCTGCATCCAATGATACATACCACCTTGTATATTCTTGAGTTACAGGCATGTACCTAATAATTATGATATGAGCAAATACAATAATCTTAATGCTAAAGTTGTGTATTGTATACACATGGGAGAATCTGCCAATAACAAATAATATAAAAGTGTATGATATTTATGTTTTTAATGTGTTTGTGTAATATTAGAATGGAATTCTTGTCTTAAATATATAAACAATAAAATGTGCGCTACGGATCTGAACGGATCCCGTATTCGCGGGCCGCCGTCCGAGGGTTAGCGTAGTTTCCCGCGCATTACGCTCGTGATTAATACGCGATAGTAAGAGAACCTCATGATAACGGAGAACGCGGTAAGACACAAGATAAACTTCGTCGTCGCCGTCGTCGTTGTCGTGGTGGTCGCCGCGGTGATCCGTGAACAGGCGAACGATATTCGTGTGGCGAAGAATAAGCGCGTCGGAGCAGCGTTAAAGTCGGCATGACAGCGAGCACACCGTGCGATTCGAAGGATGAATTTGACAGGCGACGGACGGCCGACGAGCCGTTAAGAAAGTTGGTAAGAGCGTGGCTCGGCAAAGCGTGACGAGACACAGTAACGGAGAGAGAGGATGCGGCAAGTCGCGCACACGGCGCGTTTATTTGGCGGATACGTTGGGGGGGCAATGAAAATGCGCAGGGCACACGCAAAAGAGACCACCTCCGGGGCCGCAAAGCTCATGACCGCGGTACCGCGGAGCCATGGAGCAGGCCCAGTGAAAATCGCGAGTTGCGTACGCACCTTGTGTGTCCCGTGAGTGGTCACCCGATCAGGGTTTTCGCGTCTGCGGGGAGGCCGCCGTCGGCTACGCTCTCTCACCACGCCCTACGCTCGCGTCTCGCGGTCATCTCGCCAGCCGTGTTGAACGCTCACCCGCACAGCACCAGCACCGTGTGGCTCGCACCCTACGTTCTGTCTCACCGCTCGTAACTCGCGTGTACGACGCGCCACGCCACAACACGCACAACAGCCGCCATAGACACCATGGCCAGTTTCGCCAGCGGCCGTATCGATCGGCTACGCGGCCCTCCATCTCCACCACAACAAACGC